CATTCCGCCTCCCGCAGGTGCGTCTCCTGCCGCTGCGGCGCGCGGCAGCCTTTCAAGCGGAGGAGGGGCCCGCCCCGCGCCGCCGCCGCCTCCTCCCGGGACTCCTCCCCGCGCCCAGCTCCGAGGAGGGGGCAGAGCGCCCGCAGCCCCTGCTCTCCTCTCCGCCCAGCTCCCTTCAGCGCGCGGCAAAGCGGAGACAAGCCGGGCTGCGGGGAGCGCAGGGCCACGCCCCCGCCCCTCCGGTCTTGGAGCGGCCCCGCACAGCCCTGCCTTGTCCAGGCGGCCTCAGATGCCCCGGGGCAAGCGCGGCCGTCCCCGCCGCTCAGCAGTGCCCCTGCCCTCAGCGCTTCTTCCCCCGGGGGTGGCGGCCCCAAGTGGGTTTGATTCCCTCACAGATTGTGAGGCGGGAAGGAACCTTGGAAGATCATGGGGTCCAGCCCCCTGCGCCAAGCAGCAAAGACAACGGGGGTCGGGTCATAGGCGAGGCGTAGTGAGGCAGCGCCCTCCCTGAGAGTGGCCTTCACTGGCCAGCGAGTGGGGACACCGAGTGAAGTGCCAGCCGGTGCCCTCTGCCCAAGACTGGCGCTGGTGGCACTGAAACAAGTGCCAGGGGCCAGAGACAACCTGAGCAGGGTGTGGGACCTGCCCTTGGACACGAGGAAGCCAGCAGCAGATGCAGCAGCAGGAGGGTGGGTGCCGAGCAGCAGGACGTGAAGCCAGCAGCAGCACAAAGTCGCCGCACCGCTCTGCCCAGCTCCATGGGGCCCAGGCAGTCAGCCCAATTCACCCTCCCTCAGGGATGGCCCTGCTGCTGGCCACTTCAGTTTTTGCCGCCAGCACTGCGATCAGCTGCTGGGAGACCCCCCCCCCCCACCACCACCGCCTGGTCGGCAATCGACCGCTGGTGTCCCCCCACCCCAGACCCTGGAGGCACCAGTCACCCATGGGTCAGGTGACCCCAGCAAGGCGACCGTCCAGTCTCCTCTTGAAGATTTCCAGGGTAGGTGGTTGTACTGCCTCTGGAGGGAGCTTATTCCTCTGGATGGGGATGCAAGTCTGTAGGAAAGAGTCACGAACAAACTTTCAAAGTGGGTCAACAAACTTTGAAAATGGATTCTCCTTTAAAAGGAGAAAAACGTTGGAAGCTGTGGCTTTTCCCTTGCAGGCTGGCAGAGCTCCAGCCCACAAGGGGCTGCTTCGACATACACCTCATCTTGCCCCCACACGCCCACCCCCTGCCCCACACACTGGGGGCTGCAGGTGGGGGCAGTGGGTCGGGAGTGAGGGGTACCAAGTCAGGACTGGCCACAGATGTTTACAAATGGGTCCTAGTACAAAAAAGGTTGAGAACCACTAGCGCAGTTACGTAAATTTGTAAATGGCGGATCTAGTAAATACTTTAAGTAGAAAACAGCCCCCTGGCCCTGCCACTGCCTCTCACTCCTGCCACTGCCCCCCCAGTGTGTGGGGCGAGGGTTGGGTATGGCAGGATGGGGATGGAGCTCTGCCAGCCTGCAAGGGAAAAGCCAGGTTTTGCCCTGTTTTCTCCTTTAAAAGAGCACCCCTTTTTAAAGTTTGTTCACAACCTTTTCATATATTCTTGCAATCCGCTTGTGGGTCACGACCCGTGGGTTGAGAAATGCTGCTGTAGCTGAAGCATGCTCTTGAGAGTATCACAGAGCCTTTTCCCCGAAGGGAAGAGCCCTTTATTAAATGCTGGCTCAAGGTGCAGCTAAGACTCTTTTGCTAAGTTCCTAGCCTCCCTTGAAACCATGCATGTAGACAATATTGTCATGTATTAATGCAATCCCTAGAGGGAAGAAAACAAGCCAAGGTCTGGATATTGCAGGGGGAAGGGAATGTGGTATAGTATATTTACCCCATGATAATGCAAGGCACACAGAGAGAAAGTCTGTTTTCTAGGAAATTGAGACACCTTGCAGCCCATGTTTCAGAAGAGTGATTTTCACCTTCTTCTCACTTACACTAATAAATAACCATGCTTCTGTGATTCCTGTCCTCTCTAGCCCTGCTGTTGCTAAATTTTATGTAATTACTTCCCACCTCACTGATCCAAAGCCACCCTGAACCTGGAGAAGTCTTTTCTGAAAAGACTGAAGGGGGCTGGAGAGGGGAGTGTTTTGTAGGAAGCATTTCTAAATGAAAGGAGTAAATTAAGCATGAAGCATTTTTAGATGCAGATATCTGTTTTATAGAGAAGGAGAATTTAAGCCATACCTAATTATAGGTATGCAGTTTTAGTATAGGCAATCCAGTTTTGTTTTCTTTATATTCTTCCTTTAATGTTCTATACACGTACATGGTGACTTTTACTGACCTAATTCGGCTAGGATAACATAGTGCAAAGCATTTCAGGAAAGCATTTGCCAGAAATAACTTCTAAGTGAAAACTCCTATTGGCTTCAATGGGAGAGAATTTTGCCCTCTGTTTCTCCACTCTTCATTTGTCTGTCTAGCTGGGAGTGGCAGGAGGATGAATTATAGTTTCTCCAGTGACATTGAGAACATCCAGGACTACGTAAATGTTAAGCACTGTGACAGCTATCTTTCTACAAGAGCGGTGCACAATACTTCAACGTTTACAGGTCTCTTGTGGCTCTCACTAGTCCTTCACTCTGCTAAATCTCACCATTTCTAGCAGAAGCCCTTCTTGGTTAGTTGCAGAAAAGGAAAATTCGGGTGGCATAGACACAGGAGAAAGGAGAATAAGAGAAAGTGGGAGGACAACTTATTGTGAAAAATGTTACATGGTATAAAAGAATGTAGTTGCTTCTTTGTTTATAAGACCATTGGGAGAATGATTGTTTTGCTACTTGCCACATTTCAAGCACATTTAAAAGTACTGTGTTTTTTATATCAGTCCTAGACATGCTTAGGAAAGGATAGCACTGCTGTAACAGCATTTAAAACATGAGTGTTGGAGCTAAAGGCTCCCCCTCATCCCTCTCTCCCCAGCCCAGTTATAGCACAACAGTGCCACGTATCCAGATGTAGTAAGCATTTCATTTCTGAAATATTTCTAAAAGTATTTGGGCAGCAGAAAGACAAAGAGGATAAAATGCTTGAAAAAGCTACTCCTACCTGTCCTGCAGATACTTACAATAAGGGCTTCCCTCCTTTTGTGGAAAGGTGGGGTTATGTAAAAACTAGATCTCAGATCCTGTTGAGTGCAGCAAAAAAATACTGAGGAATAGGCCTATGCTGTGATAACTGTGAGCTCAGACGCAAGAAGGAAACATTCCAGGTCTTGCCAGTTCCACTAATATTAATTGTGAAAACACATGGGTCATCCCCAAGTCACAGATGTTCAATATGAAAATGCCTGGATCCTATTGAATCACAGCAGGTTTGGAAAAAGATCCGTGTCCTATTCAGCCCATACAGTCATTAAGGAAACATGCGAATCATGTTCAATCAGGCACAGTTACTGAAGAACTAAACAAAACCTGCTGTTTCCAAATGCACACAGTACCTAATAGTGATGTTCTCTACTTAGATATAATCAGCGTGAAGATAAATGGATCCATCTTCTTTTTGTCTGTCTGAAATCTGGCAGCATGGATACCAGATTTTGCAAAGAGCTGTGTGCTTTCTCATTATTTGTATCCCATAAACTCACATGTAAAAGGACAGGCCAATAATAACTGTTTAGGTTGTAGCACTACATGTTTCCATAATTACCACATCCTAATTAAAGAAGAAATATTCTTTGTAATCCTGATCTCGTACAGCTGTTCTCCTTGTCAGTGTTCCTTTTCCTGACCTTTCCCTTCCTCCCCCCTCTTCTTTCTGGATTCTTTTCTTTCCCCACTCCTAGTTTTCTCACTCCCTCTGCCTTTTCTCATGGGCATTTGCCTTTTTTTCTTCCTTCCCCAAGCCACAAATAGAAGTTTTGTCATTTTTAGGAGATGTTTGAAGCTTACTGGATAAATATTGCCATCTCTTCTGTTGTTTTTCTCCTGGGTGGCAGGAATTATATGAAGTGTGGGAGGAGAAGCCACTTTCAAAGGAAAGACTTGTCTATGAAGCAGCTTACCTCAAAGTAACCACAGTCAAGTAAGTTTCCATATACTTTTCACGTGCAGAGTAACTTCCCCATGTAGATGGGTCCAGAAATTGCGGAGTCAATGCATGTACATTAGAGAGTGTTGAACACCTGCATGGAGGCTCTCCTTCAGAAACAGTGTCCCTGGTTTTCTGTATATTAGTCCTCCTTGAATAAATTTGGAATGTATTCCTCTTTGAAGGAAAATTAAGCTATGGCAAACTAAGGCCCTTTACTTCTGAATGAGAACATCCATGTTGAGTTGAATTAGCTTTAATGTACATACAGTAACTTTACACTGTTGGTTAATTTTTCATCATTTTCCTGAGTGTCACCATGTATTACTGCTACTTGGAAACCACTCTGCTGTGATAGCTGCAAAGCATTCTTAAACAGTTTTGTAAGTTCAGTATTTCAGGTATTTGCATTACTGAGATTGAGGGCTGGCAACAGAAACAGGTGCTCAAAAGTTATTCCCTCCACCCAATCTACCTTCCTGTGGTGGCCATGGCTACTATGGATATTCAGCCTAGGGTACATTATGTATGCAGAAAGCTTTAAGCAGTGCAGATCCCCAGATATTTGAGGACCCCTAAGTAAAGAACTTACAATTCCCTAAGTAAAGAATTTTTAGTT